CTTTCAAAATCAACTATAGCGATAAAAAGGTAAAGGTAAAGGCTTTCGACTTTTAAAGTTTTAATATATTCGCCTCAAATTATCTTGTCAGGGTGACTGTGACATCTATACTTATATAATAAGAATTAACATTTATCCAAAATAGTAGGTCAAATTATGGTCAATGTCGGATTTGCATTAAATATTTTCCAAAATTGGTAAGTTTTGTCCTTTTCACACTTCTCATTAATTATGTCATTTTCACACTTCTCATTAATTATGTCCTTTTCACACATTTAATTAATTCATTAATTACGACATAATTATCATAAATCATTTCATCTAAGCTTTTATCGTTAAAATGTATAGCGATCGGTTATGACCTTATCCCATTGATATTTCCATGAAACGTCCTTATCGCGTTCTATTTTTTGGTAACCACTCTATATCAATAATCGGATATTTGGTTAATGATAGCACACCTCTATTTTTTGGTAACCACTCTATATCAATAATCGGATATTTGGTTAATGATAGCACACGTCTTTATTTCAAGGAGCGGATATTCTTTGACCTTTAATTAATCTGAACTAATTGCCTTGACTTTTCAATTTTTAAAAACTCTTTTTTTTAAATATTTCGGCTTAAGATTCGGATTTCATTATACAAGTCATCGGATTGTTTGTATGAAAATGAATAAAAAGAACACCAAAAACAGGTAGCCTTATTCATATAACCAATCCTAAAATATTAGTTTGTTCACCAAAAAGAGACAAATCCTAGAAATCCTAAAATATTAATTTGTTCACCAATCCTAAAATATTAGTTTGTTCACCAAAATATTAGTTTGATTTTTAGGATTTGTCTCTTTTGAAAATATTAGTTTGTGATAATGAGGAGTTACCAAATAATCAAACTCATAATCTTGTGTACAAGGAGGTTTTTAGTAATATATGATTGTTACCGAACTTTTTATAATTCAACAATGTTCCTATGTATTTTAATGATTTTAATTTCAATTCTAATGCACGTGAGGTTATATTATTCTTCCAAATTTTACATTTCGCGCATCGCACGGGTTAACGTACTAGTTTGAATATATTAGTTTGCATTTTAACAAGAAGAAGAAGAGAGAGAGAGAAGAAAAAANCTATTTAAATTCTGGATAACGTTTTGTGGTCTTCCTTTCGATTTTTTTCAAGTTCGTTTGGCCAAAATTATCAGTATGCTTGCCGCTCGTTTTAATGGCGGCCCTTATCCACCACCACTGCCACCAACCCGCCGCCGGCTCTGCCGCTTTTACCCTCTCCGCCAACCCCACAGTCCCTCACTCGAAACCCTTTGCTCATTCGCAAGTCACCTCCTCTCTCTCCCCCTCCAAAACCTCCCTTTCTCTCTCTTCCTCCAAAACCCAGCTCTTCCCTTCATTTCCCGCCACCAAAATCCCATCTTTTCAGCACAATTTGACCGCAGACCATCCCATAAACCCTAAACCCCTTTCCAATCATGAGCTCTCGCGCCTGCTCAAGCTATCCGTCGAGTACAAGGACACACAACTCGGTAAAGCGGTACACGCTTCAATTCTTAAGGTACAACAGGATTTACGCTTGTTCAATTCCCTCATCTCGTCTTATATCGAGTTGGGCAACTTGAATTACGCCGAGAGAGTGTTCAATTGTCTGTTAGCTCCCGATGTTGTGTCTTTTACTGCTATGATTTCGTGTTTGGCGAAATCGAGCCGAGAGGGTGAAGCCGTGGGCCACTTCTTCAAGATGAGGGGCTCAGGGATCGAGCCCAACGCCTATACTTTTGTGGCCGTGTTGACTGCTTGTATGCGCTTGCTTGATCTTGAGTTGGGCTCCCAAATCCACGCTTTTTCGATCAAAACCGGCCACTTGAACTGCAGTTATGTGGCTAATGCCCTGATGGCTTCGTATGGTAAATGTGGTTGTTTTGATCGTGTAGTCAAACTGTTTGCTCAAATGCCCCAAAGGGACAGTGTTTCTTGGAATACCGTGATTTCGTGTTTGGTTAAGGATGGTATGTATGATAGGGCATTTGAAACGTTTCAGAGTATGATAATAGAAGGATTCAAGGTGGATTATTTTACGCTTTCGAGTGTCTTGGTTGCTTGCACAATGCGTTTGGCTAAACTAGAAGGCACGGCAGTTCATGCTTACGCCCATAAAATCGGGTACGAGAGCAATTTGAGTGTGAAAAACGCACTTTTCGAATTTTACGGAAAGTGCGGATGTGCAAAAGATGTCGGGACTCTGTTTGACCGCATGCCCATGCGTGATGTTTCCACTTGGACTCAAATGATTAATGCATACATGGGATTCGGGCTCGTTGATTTGGCTCTGGAGGTATTTACTAAAATGCCCCAGAAGAATTACATCACCTACAATGCAGTCCTTGCCGGATTTTGCCAAAATGGCCATGGATCGAGCGCGTTGAGATTTTTCCGAGAAATGGTGGGGTCCGGCATGGAGATAGATGACTTCACGCTGACGGGAGGTTTGAACGCTTGTGCGCTGACAAGGGATTCGAAATTGAGCGAACAAGTTCAAGCTTTTGTTCACAAGATTGATTTCAGCACGAACGAGTACATCCAAGCGGCATTACTCGACATGTGCACAAAGTGTGGCAGAATGAGTGATGCTGAGAAGATGTTCGACCGATTGCCATTAGAACAGAGAAGAAGTTCGATTATGCTAACGACTATGATTAGTGGGTATGCTCGGAACTCGGATCCTGAAAAGGCGCTTTCTTTAATCAACAAGTGGCTGTATGAAGAAGAAGAAGAAGCCAGTGTTTTTCTGGTCCTTCTCGATGAAGTTGCACTAACATCAGTCCTCAGCGTGTGTGGAGATTTAGGTTTTTTGAAACTTGGCGAACAATTTCATGCAGGGGCATTGAAATACGGGCTCTCGTCTGATGTTGGTTTTGGAAATTCAATCGCCAGCATGTACTCCAAGTGTGGTGACATGGAAAACGCAATTAAGGCGTTCGATAAAATGTCCGAACACGATATTGTCTCTTATAACAGTGTTTTGAATGGATATATCGTTAATCGACAGGGAGAAAAAGCTCTACACCTTTGGGAAAAAATGCAGAGAATGAAAATACGGCCAGACAAAGTCACGTGCATCTCGATTATTTCAGCTTACCGGCACACGAGCTCGAGTTTAGTCAACCAGTGCCGGGACTTCTTTTTCTCGATGAAATCCATTTATCAAATCGAGCCCAATTCGGACCACTACGCCTGTTTTGTCGGTGTTTTAGGCCACTGGGGGTTTCTAGAAGAAGCTGAGGAGGTAATTACGAAACTGCCCTTTGAACCCGAGGCTTCAGTCTGGCGGGCCCTGCTCGACAGCTGTCGAGTACACGAAAACGTCACGATAGGGAAAAGGGCCGCCAAGAATATTCTAGAAATGGAGCCACAAGACCCTTCGACCTACGTGCTGAAATCCAATCTCTATTCAGCTTCCGGAAGGTGGCACTGCTCTGAACTCGTACGCGGAAAGATGAAAGAGAGAAGGTTCCGGAAGTTTCCAGCCCGAAGCTGGGTCGTGCATGATAACAAAGTTCACTCTTTTTTCGCCCGGGACAATTCGCACGTTCAGTCGAAGGACGTTTACAGCGCACTGGATATTCTATTTTCGGAATGCTCGAGAGAAGGATATTTGCCCGACACTAGATTTGTGCTGCATGATGTGGAGGAGCATCAGAAGGTGAATTTCTTGCTGTACCATAGTGGGAAATTGGCAGCTACGTACGGAGTTTTGATGGGCCGGCCCAGAAAGCCCGTTAAGGTTTTCAAGAATGTTCATCTATGTGGGGATTGCCATACGTTCTTGAAATACGTGTCGATGGTTACGAAGAGGGAGATACACTTCAGGGATGCTTCTGGTTTTCACAGGTTTGTTAATGGCGAGTGCTCCTGCAGAGATTGCTGGTGAAATTGGGAAATTTTTTAATTGTGATATTTTTTTTTTAATTTTATAATATGCAAAATAAAAAAAAAAAATGAGGAAAAATGTTGAAAAGCCGAATGAAATGTGATTGGCCAGAGATAGCAAAGCTAGCTAACAACTAGAGAGTACCATTTATATAAGCTGATAACCATACTTTGAAACAACCATAAGCAAAGAACACTGAATGCATGATGTGTCTCCTTTCTCAATCTCTATCCCTTTGTATATATGCTAGCTGATGCATTATTACAAGTACTCTTACCCAGATTCCTGCTTCTTTGGTACCTTAAATTAGTTCACCTACAATGCCTTTCTCCAACTTTTCATTGTAGGCCTTGAAATTCAATTAAAACTTAGGCACAAGCAGAAAAAATTGATCAAATGCTTGGTAACTCATTTTATTGTACATTTTCCAATCATGTTAAAATACATTTCTAAGCCTAATAAAACAACACAACTCCAAACAAACGCGTTAAAAATCCAATTCGTAAGCGAGCATTTTGACTCCAATCGATAGATTTTTAACCAACGATGATCAATCCATCAATTCTTGTGTATCGTGAAGTTGAAAGTTGATTCTCCTGAGCCACAAGGAATGCAACACCATGTGGAAAACATCGTACCTTTTCGGAGGGAAATTAACCTCGAAATGTCTCCTCACCTTAATCCCCATCTCTTGCATCTCCAAGTACCTCCCGTCCGTTATACCCGTCAAAATCTTCTTCAAATCGGGAATTTCATCCACACCTACATCGACCGAGAACTTGCTCCAATCCAAGACATCATCGAACGGCTTCGCGTAATGGGCCTTGAGCAAAACCGGCACGCAGCCCATGTATAGTGCCTCGACCATTCGCGGGCTCGCCACTTCCCAACCGCTAGGGCAAATGCAGTATTTGCTCTTCCGGAACATTCCGTAGTACGACGTGCCCTCCGGGAGGTACTCGTGGATTTTCACGTCCGGGTCTTTGTTTTCCCATTGCTCCATCAAAACTTGCCTTATGTAGCCGTGAATGCCTCCCGCGTAGAAGACGAGAATCGAGCGTTCGGTTGGAGGTGGCCCGCCGATCAAGCCGTCCATTTTGCCGTCCGGAAGGTATATTTCCGGCAGCGACACGTCGATCGAGGGTTTAAACCCTTCGGAAGTGTTGGCGTTGCATAGGACCCTTATTGAGTTCTTGAAAAGATACGGAACGCCGTGTGAAACTGTCGGAGTCTGTGAAAAACAAAAACACAATTTTTTTAAATATATAACTGTTGACCTTCGAAATTTGAAGTCAAACTATTGGGGAATTTTTCTCTTAGTTAAAGTAAAATAGAAAATAGTTTCGAAGATGTCAGATATTCGTTGATCAATATGAATCAACTCGAATAATCGTTGATCAGTATGAACCAATTCGCTGATTCATATTGATCAACGGATATCCCCACCTCTTTGAAACTATTTTCTATTGCTTTTAATTTTAGGAAAAAAATTCCCCAATCGTTTGACTCAAATTTCGAAGGTCAACAATAACTCTGTTTCATAACAGAATACAATCATCAAGAATCAAGAATAAAAAGAAAAAAAAAAAAGTAACGAAAACCGAAAAGTCGAAAAGTCTTGCCCAATCATGGCAACCGAGTATGAAATGGTCGTGCCCGAGCGTCCGATTCCAATAAGGGTACTTCGAAGAAATCAGCCTCACATAATCTCTAGCAATGTCTTGCAATGGACTCCAAGCGCGGTTATGAATCACGTACGCGTACGTGGCTATAGACTGCACACTCAACGGAATAAAATAAACGTGCGCGTTTTCAGGATCTCTCGTTCGAAACTTGCTGATCTCGATTTGATGTATGAGAATCCCTTCAATCCCAAGAATCCCGAGACTCTTACTGTAGTGGAATAACGGTGGATCACCGTCTTCATACACGTAAATCCTGAAATTCTTCTCCATTTCCAAATAGCTCCTAATATGAAACATATAACTAACTATTTTCAAAANTTGTGTTATGTTCATTCTTCATGACCTTTTTGACCAAACATTAAATTAAAAAAAAAAAAAATTGAAAAACCGCAAAATTTCACAAAACAATGCAACTCCATTTTTAAATAACTTTGGAAAGAGTGCTTTTTTTTTATGTTTTTTGAATAAAGATGGACTCACCGGAAAATGATCGGTTTGCGGTGAAGTTCCGGCGGGCGACATAAAAGACGGCCATGGAATTTCATAGCTGCGGCCACTGCCATTAATCTTCTGGTTCATAGCAATTAGAAGCCCAGAGAAGAGAATCAATGGGACCACGACAAAGTACACAAGCTTCAAAGAAGAAGATGATGATGATGAACATTCGGCCATCTTCTTATTTTGCTCTGTTTTTCTTCTTCTCTCTCTGTTTGAAGTGATTGATATTAGAACATGGGCTTAAGAAATTCATACATGCGTGAACTCGTTTTTTTCCTCGATTAAAGTGACTCTTGAGATGGCCTTTCCAGTTGACTTTACTGACGTGGAGGTGTGGCACGAGAAGGTGCCCCAACTTGATTTTTTTTTTTTTCCACTTTATTTATTATTATTAAATTTGGAATATTTATGGGAAAAGGTTTGTGAATTGAGTAACCACGAAACGTGATGTGTTCTCATGTGTGATTGGAGAAAGTGAGGATGGAAGAGAACATTAATTGGTACAATTAGGCATTACATGTTGTACCCACATTTTGAGGTTAAGGTATGAACTCATCTAGCATTACATGTTGTACCCACAATTCAATTTTAATGGTTGTCATAATAATAGACTTAGGGTAATTCTTTCAAAAAGAGTTTTTCTATTAATTAGATTTAATTTAAAAAGTAGAATGGTTAGTTGTTAGTGAGATTTTGAGTTTATATTAAAATAATTAAGTTGATTTGATGTAAAATAGGGGAAAGATGATGTGAAGTGATAATTAGTTAAAATTATGTGGGGTGGATGAATAGTAAATTAAAGTTGGTGTGATGTGTAAGAATAATTAGTTTATAGTATTTAATTATATGAATAATATTGAGGATAGTGAGATTGAATTAAAGTTGAATTGTATTTTGAGAACGGATTAAATGTGAATGAAATATTTTGTAAACGAACATCCTCTTAGTTTTACATGGACAAACTATATGAAGAATAGACCATACTCGCTCATGTAGGTGGTGCATATTTTGGGTAAAATGGAAATGACCGAAATATAATTTTCGGTTCGATCTTTTTGATGTCAATTCAATTATCGATTTTTACTTTTTAAATATTGCTTATTTTGATTTGATTTTTTTGTTTTATTTTGAAAATATATATGGATTGAACGAACTAAAGAATTGCTTAAAGAATTTATGTTTTTCCATATTTATATATTTTCACTAAAAATAATATAAATACTAAATAAACAAATCTAGTATATAGATTTATATTATAAATTATACTATATTTTAGTTATTTTGATTAGTTCATGTTGGTATTCAGAGAGGGCAAAGGACATTAGAACCCAAGATATTTTCCGTAATCGAAAACAGAGAAAATGTGTGTTCATTTGTTACAGTAATTGTGTATGTTCACGGTCTGGTTTTAACCCAAAAAAACGGTCAATACGGACCGCAGATCGGTTAAATGGTCAGTTAAAAAAGCCTTAAAAAATTCAGTGGTTAATTTTTTTAAAAATCCAGAATAACCGGTCTGGTTAACGAATTACGTGCGGCAAACTGCCGGTTTAACCGGTCCGGACTGGTAAATATTATTTTTAATTTAACCGCGAGACGCTCTACGATTAAACCTGACTTCTTGTACAGTTCAGAAAAACGTTTCAAGATTTAATACAATTAGCCGCTTTACGAATTAGAAAAATAGGCTAGACTAAGTAGTGAACTCAACCGCGTTCGCTCACTTAAATAGGCTAGAAAAGAATAATTCAACTATGAATGCTTTGCTCTTATTATTTTAGGTATATAAACTGACTGAAAAATAAATGTTTGCTTGGATTCAGTTTGCATAATTTAATCTTCATCAATTTTGTATTTTTATGTTTATGGGACGAAATGTGTATTTTTATGTTTATGGGACGAATTGTATATTTTTTATTTCATTAGTGTTGTTTTTCTTAATTTTTAGGCCCAAAAAATCTCTTTTGGGCCCAAAATTGAAAGATAAAAATTAAGCCCAAAATGAAAAAAAAAAATAAATGGAAGGCCTAAAACAAGAATTTTGAATTTAACCAGTTAACCGCCAAATCGGACCGTCCAATGCGGTCCGGATTGTGGTCGGTTAAAAAATAAAATCGGTCCGGTTATGGACAAGAAAAAAAAAAAAATAATAGTTAGGTCCGGTTTGGTCATGGTTTGGGCTAAAACCGGACTAATCCAGACCGTGAACACCCCTACTTGCCACATTACTTACATTTCAGTCCGGTCTATTGATTTCCATGGACAAACAATTATTTTCCCACATTTCCCGCATTCTATCTACCTAGTCTTTGGCCAATGAACACACCATTATTTTCCATCTGGATTCTACCTTATCTCTATTTCTCGGTAGCCTTTTCACTATATACATTCTGATCCATTCAAGCATGGTCAGTATGGGTTCTTCTCTGGTATGAACAATGCAGAAATTAAAACTCTCACACAGGTTATTCAACGATATTCACATTTAAGTTTATCATCAAAGTGTGATTTTGACCAATGTGCAGGACTCTTTATCATTGGACGAATCTGCAACTTGAGGACATATTTTTCTCGTTTTTCTTATCCTGAAATGACACTCACCCAAAGTACTTCCTGTGCAGCAACCTAAAAAGGCATTTTTAATTGAATCCCATCTACATCCAGCATTTTTTAAATTGTAGTGCAGATGCCCAACACAATATCTATGACTAGATCGTGGGAAAACACTTCAAATGCCAGAATCAATCTCTTCCGTTTATCAGTAATGAAAGTATAATGACTGTCATTCTCAATTCCAAGATCATGTTTCTGTGCAATCAGAATCCACTCACAAGTATCCCTAGGTTCTCTACCAACCACTGCATAAGCTAAGGGATATATGTTGTTTTTGGAATCAACACCTACAACAGTAAGAAGATTACCCTTAATGGGTCCAGTCAGTGACAACCGTCAATCCCTACTATTGGTTCCTTCTATGTTTGAATGTTCTGGTCTTCACCGAGTAAGTCCGCTTTTTAGGTCCTTCATTTACCTCTTCACTTCCTGGTTGAGTTTCCACCAAACTAACTGAGAGTCCTAGCTCGACTTGTTGTTGTACCTGTTTGCTTCAGAGGTTATCACCGACTTGGCAGTCTCTCGACCTTGAGTCTTCCTACTATCCGACCTCTAATCGACCTAATGATCCACTCGAATCAGTCCAGCTGCTCTCAAGTCTCCTAACGGTTGGTATAATAATCCATATCACTATGGTTGTTTCTCACACATTTATTTTTGCTTAGAGTTTTTTTTTCCTCGAAACGGTAAAAAATATTATAAAAACTTGAAATAAGGACAATCGGTAAACAATTATTTCAACAATGTGGGAGTCACTAAACATAGCCCTCCCACTTCACAAAGGGATTAACCCTACAAAAAACTTCAAAATTAAAATACTCCATAAGGAAGACTAGAAAACTCCACCAAGGGAGGCTAACAAAACAAAATACAAGAAAACTCTACGAAGGGACACTAGCAAAACAAAACACACTAAAACAACCAAGGCCGGCTTTTGGGCCAGGCAGCAAAGGCTTCAGCCTAGGGCCTCCATTTTTTATACATATATATTATTTTATATATTATACATTTGTATTGGGCCTGACCCAATTCATTTACATAATCAAATTTAAGAGTTTGTACCTCTTATGCGTCTGCCCGAGACTTGACAGTTGTACTTGCACAATTGCACTTTACACAATCAATTATCAAACCCCAATTTCGCAAATTTCACCGAGGAGTTTAGTCGCTCGACGGCCAACGCCCTCCGCCCTCACCACAACCGTCTCACGCGTCGCTGCTGCCAACCCACTGCTGAGTTTCTCAATCAATCGGGTAGGACCTTTTTCTATTTTCTAAATATTTTTCATGTTTGTGTCTATTGAATTTGATTATTTTTCTTTGATACGTTTGAAGCAGTCAAGGAGATTTGAAATGATGATATATTTGCGGTGTCCATCTGGTTGAAGTCTTGAAAATTTAGATGAATTAGAATATATTAATGATTAATCTCTTTTTCTAACTTTTTTAATTGAGAATGAGGTATCATGGTCATCTCAAATTCTCAAATAGAATACATTAGTTTTGGAGCACTCAAGCAGCATTGATACGAATTTGATTATTTGTTCCACCTGAATTGTTCAATTGTGTTGATACAAATTTGATTATTTGTTCCACTTGAATTGTTCAATGACTGGCATAAGANATTGACAATGTTTATTATTATTTGTTCAATTAAAAAAATTAAAAAATAAAAATACATTACGGACCTCCCTTGAAAAAATTGTCTGGGCCTCCAAATTTCTGGAGACGGCCATGTACACAGCAACCACACAATAAAGCAAAATATACTCAACCAAAGCTTAGAAATGCAATAAACTCAGCCAGCAAGACATGTTAATTAGAAGCCCTAGCTAGAGCCTAGGATTATACCACCACATAACCCTAATTAATTAGTCTTTCACAAGAAATTAAAAAGTGATGATCAACCATATGAACACAACAAATTAAGCAGCCATTAATTAACTAACTAATTAACTAATTAATTACCTAATTAAAAATTCAAGTAGATCGTATTAGGTTTTTAAGGTAGGGCAGCCCAACTGTATGGAGTCATCATGGCCGGATTGTAGTCGTCGATGTTAAGAATATAGCTACATTCTCCGACCTCATTGATGTTGTGGGGCCCACACGGCTTCACGGAGTTCGGGATTGACGTGCTCTCGACTGTCTCCTCACCGGAAACTTCCGTGTAGTTGGTCGAAACTTGTTTCTTGGCCAGCACTTGGTCTTTGAGTATTGCCCTTAGGGACATAACCTTGCAAATTTAATTAAATTAATAATAATAGAAACAAGCAGTCCCTTAATTTTATAGCCAAGTAGCAAATGCGATGGAAATATGAAAATAAAACCACTTTTTGTGGAAACTCATATTAGTCATTTCACAAAATGGTTTTGGTAGTAAAGGTAATTATGTCATTTCACATGGAAAAAATAACAATTATTTCACATTTCAACAAAGAGTGGCTATTTTTTTTAATCTTCTTAACAGCTGCATGGCAATTTAGTAATATTACCAAAAAAAAAATAATAAAAAAAAAATCGGACATGAACTATGACTAGATTAATTTTATTTTTGGTCTATTAAATTCGACATTATTCTAGTAAGAATATATTATTTTGTAGTGTCATCAAATTGGTGACTGATTACTTTGCCATCTATTTGGCAATTTTAATGTCCATTTTTTGACACACACTAACTTAATGTCCCGAAAATAAAATTTTGTACACTCACATTATCAAAGCATGTATTTGAAGATAGTTTGCCAACAAGAAAAAAACAGTAATATATAATTGAAAAATAAAACTGCACCAGTTAATATTTATACATTATTTTGCTCAATTTTCAGTAAAAGGACCAAATTAAAAATTATGGGACCAAAGGTCTAAAGTCTAAAAGATGCAATCTATCTGCAATACAGTGAATATACCATCATTATATATGTCTATTTTTTGTGTATAATTAAAACACATGAGACAATCCCTGAAAGAAAAGTGTTTTGTGTACACGAGTTTTTTTGGATGAAAATGACAAGTGAGATGTTTGTGCGACCACAAAAGTTATTAGGCAAATTAGCCATTTATCTCAAGTTACAAGGACTAGTTTGCTATTTTTCCTGAAAATTTATTATACGCAAATATTTATTATGGTAGTAAAGAAGTAGGGGCAAATATAAAATGCATTATTACGATATAATTATACAAACCTTAATAACATATATCCAAGTGATAAATACGTGCAAGACAATTCATAAATGGGTTATCACATTATAAATTCCAACAGATAGTGTGTTAGATCCATCTATCATCCACACATATCTAATTATAATATATATGCACTCATAAATATGCCTGCCTTGTGAAATAATAATTTGAACAAGTTGTAAGCTCAATCATTTACTACACTTTAAGTGCCGTAATAATTTTAGATCATTAATGAACTATGGAAGTACTTGCATTTTCAAATTTGAGCTAGGAAAAAAATATATATATATATAGTCGATGATTTATATTTCTTCCAATAAATTCATCTCTCTCTAAAAAAATATTACCCTACTTAATTTGACGCTCGTCAAATTATTTAGTGTACTAACTTGCAAAAATCATTTAACAAGTTGGTGTACCAAAACATATCATCAAAATTGGTTTAATTTACCAACTTGGCAAATGATTTTCCTTTTTTTTTTTTNAGAGGACCAAAATGAAATTAACCAAAAAAAAAAACATAAGTAAAGTTTATTTCTTTTTAGTTAATAATTATTTAATTACGTAGTACCTCCTGTTCGAGCTTGTGCTTTTCCCTAGAAACCGCATCGTACTCCTGCTTAAGCATGTCGTACAAGCGCTCGAGCTGCTTTCCCTTCCAACGGGCCCGCCGGTTTTGAAACCAAACCGCGATTTGACGTGGCTGAAGGCCGAGCTCCTTGGCCAGCCTCATTTTGCGGTCAGGATCAAGCTTGTTCTCCTCTTGGAAACTGTTCTCGAGCGAATCTAGTTGCTCAGTGCTCAACCGCTTTTTCTTTGGGTCATTGCCGTAAATAATGTTCGTGCCGTCGTTATTTTTGTGGTCTATCACGGTAGGTGGAATCATCGTCTTTGTGTAATCGAAAGCTATAATAGTGAATTATTTACCAAATTAGGCATCAAAAGAAAGAATGTGTGTGTGTGTATATAGGTATGTATATAACGAAATCGACGAAAAATATTTGCGAACTTACCTTGAAAGTGATCATAGTTATAGTTGTAGAGAAAGTTGAAAGAAGTTTGGAGATTACCGTTGTAATCCATGATCGAGTTTAACTTACGAACCCTTTGAACGTTTTCTCTCTAAGATCTAACTCAAATACTTTTATATGTTTATGTTACAAGCTTAGCTAGATCAAAATGGACCACATATATAGTGTAAGAGAGGGTTTCCTTTTGGTGGGAACAAAGTGAAAATGAGAATGAAGGCGAAGTGTGAATCTCTTCTTTTTGTATGCTTTGAAGGGTTTGAAAATGAAAGGTTTGCATGTATATATTGAAAGGGCCTATAAAATACTTTTTGTAAGGCTCCTTGCCTCTAAATTTGGGTGCAACTATAATGAATACTATTTACAGCTACCAAAACAGTGTACCCTCCCTAGAGATGTTAAACGGGCTAGCCCTAGCGGTTTCGGGCTAGCCCTAGCGGGCTTCGGGTTAAACGGTCCGGGCCTAAAAAGCCCGGATTTAAACGGGCTACCAAAAAAAGGACCTAACCCTAACCCTAGCGGGCTTCGGGCTAAACGGGCTATGCGGGCTATGGCTATAATAATAATAATAATAATAATAATAATAATAATAATAATAATAATAATA